CGACTTAGCCCTTTTTCGATTGTCCCTTTTTAGCCCTCCTTTTATAAACTTTTAACATTTTATCCCCTTGAACTAATTTATCCCGATCCTTATCATTACTCCCCTCTTCCAAACAAATCTTGTCCTCAAGATTTAAATCAGGAAATTGAGTTTGAATAACCACCGCATCCTCCCATGTGGCTTCGTCAGTCGGACGACCCTTCCATTTAATAAGCCATTGTAAGACTGACTCGTGTTGCACCCAAACAGTACGTTCCGCCATCACCAAATCTGGAACAGCCACATCCTCGGCTGTTAACTCCAATTCGGGGGGTAAGAATGATTCCACTTTACTTGGAGACACCGCCTTTTTTAGTAATGACGCATGAAAAACGGGATGAATCCGTGATTCTGGCGGAAGTTGAACTTTATAAGCCACCGGCCCGATGCGCTCTAACACCTGAAAAGGTCCAAAGAAACGTGCTGCCAACTTTTGATGGATTCGGTGGAYTACTGTCATCTGTCGATATGGCTTAAGTTTAACATAKACCCATTCCCCCACTTCAAAACTAACATCTTTCCTCTTCTTATCCGCTTGCTCCTTCATCAATGACTGGGAATGAATTAARTGARCTTGAAGTTGCTTGAGRGCTTCATCCCGATCCCGAAGTTCTTGCCCAACRGCCTCCACCCGTACTTCYCCCRGAAMAAACTGTAATACAGATGGTGGTTTCCKTCCATACACAATTTCAAACGGTGACTTTCCCGTTGACACATGGAAAGAAGAATTATACCAAAATTCTGCCCACGGAACCCAAGAAGCCCAATTTCGCGGCTGGTCAGTTGCAAAGCACCGCAAGTATGATTCCAAGCAACGATTGATGACCTCAGTCTGTCCGTCAGATTCAGGGTGATAAGCCGAACTCATGTGTAATTTCGTTCCTTGTAACCGAAAAATTTCTTGCCAAAAATGGCTTAAGAAAAGAGGATCTCTATCACTTACAATTGACTTTGGGATTCCATGATGTCGGATAACCTCCCGAACAAAGATTTCAGCCACTGAACGAGCCGAGTAAGGATGCTTTAACAGAATGAAATGGCTATACTTAGAAAGCCGGTCAACCACCACCAAAATAGCGTCAAATCCCTTGGACTTCGGCAGACCCAAAATAAAGTCCATGGATAGATGCTCCCAGATTGCTTCTGGAATGTTTAGAGGCTGTAACAGCCCTCCCGGAACGGTGGAGCTAGCTTTACACCGTTGACACACGTCACATGCACGCACGAATTGTTGAACTCGAGAAACCATGCCTGACCAATAAAGATTGGTAGCCAATCTCCGATACGTACGCAAGTACCCGGAATGCCCTCCCGACGCCGTAACATGGAATTCTGCTAATAAAGCCGGAATAAACTTCGATGTTCGAGGAATTACCAATCGACCTTTGTAATAGAGAACGCCCTGTTTTACTTCATAACACGGAAAATCAGTCGGTTGACGAACCCATCCTTGAATGATTTTTTGCAAGTCCACGTCAGCCTTTGCTTCTTCAATTAACTGAGAACCTTGGACCCAAATTGGARTGGAAACCAACTGCCACAATTCTCCATCGTCATTTCTGCGAGACAGCGCATCAGCCACTCTATTTTCTTTGCCCGGTTTGTAACAGATTTCGAAATTGTATCCCAACAATTTTGCAATCCAATTTTGTTGACCTGGGTTGGAAATTCTTTGTTGCAGCAAAAATTTCAAACTTTTTTGATCTGTATACACAACARAGCGTGTRCCTAACAGATATGCCCTCCAATGTTGCACGGCTAAAACCAACGCCATAATCTCTCGTTCATACGCGGATTTGTTCAAGTTCTGCTCACTAAGAGCTTTACTAAAAAATGCAATTGGTTTCTGTTGTTGCATTAGGACAGCACCCAATCCTCTACCCGACGCGTCGCATTCAACCACAAACGGCAAACTAAAATCAGGCAAAACTAGCACCGGGGCAGATACGATAGCCTGTTTTAGCTGTTCAAAGGCTGACTGTGCATCCTCGGTCCATTGAAAAGCATCTTTCTTAGTCAGCTCCGTCAAAGGTTTTGCGATACTCCCGTAATTACGAATAAACTTACGGTAATATCCCGTGAGGCCTAAAAATCCTCTTAAACCTTTAATCTTCTTAGGCGGTGGCCAATCAAGAATAGCCCCTATTTTATCTGGATCCATGGCCACTCCGGCACCCGAGATAATATGACCCAAATAATTGACGGACTGTTGGCCAAACGAACACTTTTTTAAGTTGACAACAAACTGATTGGACCGCAGAATTTGTAACACTTGGGCCAAATCATGGAGATGTTGAGACCATGAAGCACTGTATACCAAGATATCATCAAAAAAAACCACCACCAATTTGCGAAGAATGGGTCTGAATATGTCGTTCATGACCGCTTGAAACGTTGCCGGAGCATTGGTTAAGCCGAACGGCATCACCAAGTACTCGTAATGCCCGTCATGTGTTCGAAAAGCCGTTTTCTCGATGCTATCGGCTTTCATTCTGATCTGATTATATCCAGATTTTAAATCGAGCTTAGAAAAAAACTGTGCCCCTTTTAACTCGCCTAACAATTCCTCGACGACTGGAATAGGAAACTTATCCGGAATAGTAGCTTTATTAAGAGCCCGGTAATCCACACACATACGCCATGAATTATCTTTTTTTCTCACCAAAATGACAGGGCTCGAGAAGGCACTTTTGCTGGGTCGTATCATTCCCACAGCTAACAGYTCCCTTACCTGTTTTTCTATTTCCTCCTTCTGCATATGTGGATATCGGTAAGGTCTCACACAAACGGGTTCATTGGGTGCTATTAAGGTAATGCCATGATCATGATTACGGCTCGGAGGTAAACCCCTCAGATCAGCAAAAACAGCTTTGAATCGTCCAAAAACCTCTTGAAGAGCTCGAGTTTGTGAATCTGTTAGACACGGTGCTACACTCGATTTTCCAGAACTGKTTTGTGCTAGATTTAAGACACCCGAATATTCATCGCTCGACAACCAACTATGTAAAGAAGACTGTGTAGTAAGATGCCCGGGCGTTCCTTGAAGACCAATGGAAACTCCATGGTGTATGAAGCGCATAGATTGATTTTCCCAATTATGCACAACATCTCCTAACGTCTTAAGCCACTCCATACCCAAAATCACATCCAAATGTCCCATGTCGAATAACAACACGTTGACAGTGAATTCACAAGAGCCAACCATTACCTTAAGGTTTGAACACATTTGAGTAACCAACACTTGATGCCCATCCCCGAGTTGAATACGGACGCCAGGAATAACCAAAATCGGAAGACCCAAAGCCAAAACCAATTTTTGGGATATAAAATTGTGAGTCGCTCCACTGTCGATCAGAATTACTAAAGGAATACCCGAAATGGAGCCTTCAAATTTAAGAGTCTTACCACCCGAATTTGCTGCCGAAAAAGTGCCTAAGAGCTCCAAAGAATTGCAACTTCCGGTGGGAACGATATCGTTCTCCAAAACCTCCCGATCCTCATAAGTTTCCAGGTTGCGAAGTGCTCCGTCTTCCTCGTGCAATTCATCATCCCCCAGCAGTAAAATACGAAGTTTTCCGTCAGGACATTTGTGACCAGGCCCAAACTGCTGCCTACATCGAAAACATAAGCCCTTCTTCCGTCGCTCGTCCCACTCAGAACGTGTGAGAGAGCGAACCCCACGATTTCGATTAAACAGATTCGCAAAATCTGTCGAAGCACTAGCTGAAGAACGATAATTAGGAAAGGGTTTTTTTGGATCAGCTTGTGAAATTGGTGGTTTAGAAGACGTAGCTATAGCCCGTGTTCCACCCTCAAAATTCATTCCCGGACCAGGGCYTGTATGATATCTGAAACGAAATTGAGAATTGCTTCCTGATGAAGGATGCAGCATCTYCTCCACGTCTTTCGCCAGATACATAGCTTCAAGACRTGATTTGGGACGATGTAAACGGACCCACTGTTTAACGTCATCACGCAAACCAGCCAAAAAATACCCCAACGACTGTTCCTCAGGTAACCGAGGAACTAACGAGAGCAAATATTCGAATTCATCGATGTAGTCATGGATAGAGGATACCTGTTTGATGGTKGCCAACATCTCAAAAGGATTGTGAACTTCCAGACCACTAAAACGATGCAGCAGCTCTTTGGTTAATTGCTCCCAGGTAAGTGAATCGTAAACTTGCTTCACAATCGTGAACCAATGGACAGCCACCCCTGTCATACTTAATTGTGCCAAACGTATACGCAAATCAATCGGAGTGTTATTGATTTCGAAATACAACTCGGCTTTTTGAATCCATCCTTGTGGGTCAAAACCCGAAAATTCTGGCAGCTTGATCTTCTTCACAGCCCATGGTAAACCGGTGGAAACGCCTTCTCCAGACCCTGACCCAAATGCGTTCCCCATCAATGGTGGAAGAAAATCCATACCGCCTGGAGTAGCAGCAGGTGGTGGAGTGACCCTATCTAGTCCAGAAGCATCGCCAGGAAGAGAGAATGGRTGTCTCTCCTGCTGTTTTACCCAGCCAAGCATTATTTTACGAAATTCCATTGATTCAAGTCGTTCAGAATCCATGGAGGCCTTGATTTCGAGAATATCAGATTGAATTTTAGCAATTTGCTCATCATGTTGATCGAGACGAGCTGATTGAGAACGGGTTTCCATCGGCGGATGAACCAAGGTCGAAGCAGGTCACGATCGAACACGGCAGCAGGTCACGGCGGCAGGTCGGACCAATGATAGAGAATAGAAATAGCAATTTGGAATT